TGAGGTTACATGAGTGAATATTTGGCACTTGGTACTGGATTGATGTAAGGATTATAGACATAGTTTATCCTATATACTTTATTAATAAAGTACCTATAGTTTGAATGTGGTGGTAGTAGTTGCAATAGTAGTCATACTTACAGTAGTAATAAAAGTATTGTGATCAAATCTATTAAAAGAATGCCCCTCGGGTTGAACAGGATGAAACCATGGCACACACAGAGAATATAAGTTTCTGTCTTATTATATTATAGGACAGAGAATTTAGGAACCAAGCAGAGTGCATGAAGAAAAGGATTATTTGGGACTTGGAAAGTCGCTGCTATCTTGATCCTCCTGCAGTGGTCAGGTAGGGAGAAGAAGGGAATATGTCTAACCAACAAAGGCTGTAGGTGGGAAGAAGTATCACTTTTGTTAATCTTATTTATATTTGAGTTAAGGTGATTTGACACTTTTTCTTTTACCACATCTATATCAGATATTGTGTTCATCTGTTAAAAACAGTGGCATCAAGCTGGGCATGGTGGCTTATACCTATAATCCCAGATACATAGGAGGATCTCTTGAGGCCAGAAGTTTGAGACCAGCCTGGGCAATATAGCAGGACCCCCAACTCCAAAATCAAACCAACAAACAAAAAACAGAGAGACCTAGTGATGATGGCTTAACAAATGTGAATGCTTATTTCTCTTTTATATGAGAGAAGTCCAGAACTGGTTACACAGTGTCATCAGTTATTAAACAGGCTCGATCTTTCTTTAATTCTGCCTTTAATTCCTGCCTTCTTTCTACAAGGTTGTCTCATGATTCAATGATGGCTGCTGGAGCTCCAGCCTGCATACTCAAATTCCTGGGAGAAATTTGGAAGAGGGGACTGGTCATGGATAAAAAAGGACACATGCCAGCTCTTTTAGTCCCTCTTATAGAACCTTCCTGGAAATGGCAACCTCTGTTTACATCTCAGTACCCATCTCAAGATGCAAGAGTCTAGAATATAAAGCGTTTTAGTTGGACACATTGTCACCCAGGCTAAATCAGGATTTAATTGCTAAAGAAGAACAGGACAGTGATATTGTGTAGGTAACTATCAGTCTCTGTCACAGTGACCTGATGATTAGGGAGAGATGACAAACAGGATTATCAATATATGTATAACCTGAATGAATAGCTCTGATTTTTAAAAATTAATAGACTATTTTTTAGAACAGTTTTAGATTTTTAGGAAAATTGAGCTGATATTTTAGAGAGTTTTTATATATGCTTGGTCCCCCACTTGGTCATGGTGTGTAATTCTTTTTATGCATTGATGGATTTGATTTGCTAATATTTTATTGAGGATACATTATTACTATTATTACTTTGAACACATAGTTATCTATTTGATCAATTAAGAATAAGAAACTAAAAATTTATTTTATATTGTGGCATTTTCTGATGCTCTTCCTTTTGTTATGTGGATCTGAGTTTCTGACCCATACCATTTTTCTTCTCTCTGAAGAACTTTTAGCATTTCTTACAAGGCAGGTCTACTGGCCATTTTTGTTTGTCTGAGAAAGTCTATTTCTCCTTCACTTTTGAAAGATAATTCCAGTGGGTAC